CCCCAAAACCCCAAAACCCCAAAACCCCAATTTAAGATATTATGATTGAAGATATGGAGATTCTCATGAATTCATGTGAATTTTCAAGTCTGACATGAAATGCTAGCAATCAAGTACAGATCTTATCTCACCTCTACTCCAACTCTACCTCCACAGGTTCCGACTTCTCAAGCGCTTCTCCAATCACTACCACCTTCACTATACCACTCCATTAACTCCAAATCTTACCTCTCACTCTATACTTCAACTTCCCTCTGTGTCCTTCCTCCTGATCCTTCGCTTCATGCTCCACTCTGACCTGTTCATCAATAAATTTAGTAAGTGTAGTCACGCCTAGGAATTGGGTCTCTCTCCATAAGAGAAATTTGACTGTATTCGTGGTTTTTCTGTGGGAATTTTAAGGGAAATTGGGATTTTTAAGGGAGAAATTGGGATTTTTAAGGGAGAAATTGGGGTTAAGGGGAATTTTGGGATTTTTAAGTGGGTATTTAGGGAAGAAGGGCTTACGATGAGTGGGGGGTGTGGATATGGTCCCATTCTAGTTCGACTTTGTGGTAGGAGAAGAGGGGGGAGGTTATTGGGCGTGTAGTGGTTTTGTATCTGAGATTTGTGATAGCAGTAGTAGGGGTATAGGAAGGAGGCGTTAATGTGAGCTGTCCGATGTATGTAAGGATATTGGTAATGGTAGACGAGGTGTTTTTGAAGAGCAGACAGAGTGAAGATATGATGGATGAGGAGTCGATTGAGAGAGACTGTTTGTTGCTGAACCATGTCAGCTCCTTGTTGTCAATCTTTGCTTCTTCTGTTTGGATTAGAGGAAGGTAGTGGTGTCCTTGGGAAGAATCTTGCATGCAAACTGATATTTCTAAGTCTTCTCTCCCTTTTAGGATGGCATATAGAGTCTCGATGAGTATTTCTCCATCAGGAATGTTAAAATCTGTTTCATGCAAAACTATTTTGCATTCTTCTTGTGGTCCCAGAGTTCCTTTAATCTATAATCATAAGGTTAATATTAAGTTTTTCTGCTTAAAGCTAGAGAAGTCAAACTATATTGACTTTAAATTTGCTATTTCACTCACTTTTAAACAACTTGTTCCATAATATGCAAAATCTTGGCTTGCAGTGGTCTTCAAGACTCCGTGATCTGTTGGCGCAACATATGAACAATCATTATAATTATAGAACTTCATCTTATCTCTGATAATCTTTCCTTCGAAGTAAAATCTGTCTCCCATAGAATTGTTAAAATTAGTACTAAATGGTAAATGAATTGGAGTTTTCCTGGTGCCTAAAATTTTCTTAATATTCCTAGTAGAGCCAGTCTCTGATGATCCCTCAGAGAAAGTTAGAGCAAGTTTTTCCTTTGCAAATCTAGTTCCAAAGTGGCCTGCCCAGTATTCCACATCTTTTCCTCTTTCTGTAATGATAATTCTTGATGCATTCGTCCCAAAGAGATCCTTTTTAGTGAGAACTACTTTATGGAACACCCAGTCCTCAGTTGCAACTTTTTGAGCTTTGGAGTTCATTGAGTTATGATCTGCAAGCTCTCTTCCATTAGAATCATAAATTTGGACAAAGATGGTATAGAGATCTTCACATTTTGGAGGAGTGCCCTTTATCATTACTTCGAACTCAAGCTTTTCAAGGTTTTCTAAACAATTCTCTCCTAACCCGAGTTGCTGCTTGATAGGGTCAAGAGGGAGTTCAAAGACTCTAGTGCACCACATGTGAGAAGTAACACAGTATTCACCGAAATTTTCGTCTTCTTCAATTTTGAGGTCTCCTTCAATGTTATTCCATTGGCCTACTCCTGTATAAGAACCATCTTCAAGTTTAGTCAGCTCAAGATGCTCTCTTTTGTTTGGAAGTTGGAAGGTAACAACTTGGTTTCCTCTCCAGAATTGAGCCTCTGATCTTTCCAAAGATTCATAGTTATTTTCATAGAAATATGCTGTTGCAAATAGAGCTATCGAGAGAGGCCTTTTACAGATTTCATTTAGAGCAACATGAGTGTTGAAAATACCTCCTCCATAAGTTCCTCTACCGTAGATATCATTTCCGTAGTATATATCATATGAACGGTCTCCTGCTAGAAGGAGAGATTCGTCTAAATAGTTTGGTCTCCAGTGATAATCTGTGAAGAAGGTGTCGCAGACATCAAAGAAAGCTTTATTTCATTCTCTAAGGGCGCTCTGCCATCTAACTTTTCCATCTGTAGTAATGACAGAGTCATACCATCAAAGCTCGCTATGGGATCCAACCTCATCTTTTAGCCTCATTTTTAAGTATTCAAGAAACTGAAGGGCCTTTTCGACGTATTCCTGAGGGATATCTGACTCAAAATTCATCAAATATCCATCAAACTTGAAGAATTTCGCAATTTCACATAATTTCTCTGCGTAAAATAATGCTCCAAGGTCTTCATCAATGACTAAATTTGATAGTAAGATTTTAACTTTTAAATGCAATTTTTCCTTTGAATCAATAATATTTCAAATCTTTTGTCTAAGGTGATAAGAAAGTAAATGTCCCGAGCATTAAGTGAAACTAGTCGAGCACTCAGAGCTCTTAAATATGAATTAATGTAGAGCTTTATATAGAAGAATAAAGCGAATGAGGAAAGTCAGAATTCTTACCTTTCCCTTGGTAGGTTAGAACGCCATCAAGCATTTCCTTGCAACCTCTTTTACCATCATCCCATTCGAAAATGAGAGTTCCTAAGATCTTTACTCCGTGCTTATGGGCCTGGGTAATCCAGGCAGCTGGTGGGACTGTTAATCTATTATGACTAAAATAGACAAAAGTGTCAATATTTTCCCAATGTTCGAATCTGTATCCTTTGGAGCGATTGAAGTTGTTAAAGCAGATATCATCCTCGTTGATTCCTTTAGGAATGTCATGACAAACTAGGACCTTTCTCTTTCCAGTGACTGCTTCGCCTCCCTCTAGAGTTTCTGCTTCTTTTCTAGGGATATAAGGGACAGAAGTCACCTGATGGCTAAAGTGCTCTGGATCAAAATTAGCCATAGAGTAGTTATTATGTGGAGCTTGTCGATGAGACTGTCATATCTGTCCTTGAACCGGATCTACCGGTTCAAGTGGCTTTAAAGAGAAGCATTGATATTGGAATGATTGGAGGTGAACCTCACAACACTTCAATAAAAGGAATGTATCTTCTGGAGCATTCAAGCATTGAGTGTTTAATGATTCATTAACCTTAAGTGTAACTTCAAGTATCTTGGACTCTTTTGCTTCCAAAGATATTTGCAAGCTGTTAAAATGATCTGGATGTAAATAATCCTCAGTATCTTTGAAAAATAAGGTATTCTCTGGATCATAATCTAAACAGGGAGATTAATCAATATCCTTGGAAGATCTCTTACCTTTGGGTTCATCAGAGAAAATTTTAAAGGTCAATGAGTTACCATGACTCAGAAATACTTGTATCTTGTGAGAAATATCTTGATGTGAGAATCAGATCAAAGGCTTGAGATCATCTCTGTTTCTCTCAGGAATATACACCTGGCACGAAATTGTCAATTCTTTTGCTTCAGAGTTATAGGGAATAGTGATTTTAGAGTCCTGTAAACAGCACTGATCTGCAACAGATTTTTGATCAAGGATAGCGGGTTCCATTAGGATATATTAATATATAATATACTAAAAGGGGTTTTGGGGTTTTGGGGTTTTGGGGTTTTGGGG